GAAATCACCGCTACTCACCGAGATAAAAAGTAAAGAATACGCAGCTCTCACCAAAACCTGTGAAGCTTTCCTTGCATTTCGGCAAAACACAAAGAAGTATTTCAGCACCCGAATGTGTGCATGCATTTTCTATTAACAATATGCTGTCTCAAACCTGGAAAGGATTTCAGACTAATGCAAATGGGAATGATCAGTTCGTCGCTTCTAAAACGCACTGAAGCATTACAGTAATCGAAGTGGAAAAACATGTCACCACACAAACCGCTCCACTTAAGGCACTGATTTGCGCACGAGTTAGGTGTCCACATCGTACGCACGATCCACACAGGCGCAAGATTCACCCATCCACGAATCAGCAATGGTCCACAACGCTTTCCAGCGCATACTTCGCTCGTTCGTGTCAAGTGCGGGAATGCGCCAAAGCTGCGCAGCAGCCTCGTAAGACTGCAGCCGCCTGCAGCTCGTCGGGACCGTGTGAGCACTCATCTCGCCGGGTCCGTGTGAGCGTCACATCACCGGGACCGTGTGAGCGTCACATCACCGGGACCGTGTGAGCGTCACATCACCGGGACCGTGTGAGCACCATCTCGCCGGGTCCGTGTGAGCGTCACATCACCGGGACCGTGTGAGCGTCACATCACCGGGACCGTGTGAGCGTCACATCACCGGGACCGTGTGAGCATCATCTCGCCGGGTCCGTGTGAGCGTCACATCACCGGGACCGTGTGAGCGTCACATCACCGGGACCGTGTGAGCGTCACATCACCGGGACCGTGTGAGCGTCACATCACCGGGACCGTGTGAGCGTCACATCACCGGGACCGTGTGAACATCACATCGCCGGGACCGTGTGAGCGTCACATCACCGGGACCGTGTGAGCGTCACATCACCGGGACCGTGTGAGCGTCACATCACCGGGACCGTGTGAGCGTCACATCACCGGGACCGTGTGAGCATCACATCGTCGGGACCGTGTGAGCCTCAGATAGTGGGCTTTGTGTCCGGCGGCGCGCCGTTCCTCGCTGGCGCTCCGACCGTCACCTCTTTACGCTCCGTCACCTCTTCGGAGCGTCAGCCCCACCTGCCCCGGTGGCAGGCGCTCTCCGCCCCGCGGCCGCCCAGCCAGGGCAGCTAGTCCCGGGAAGAGAGCTGGGCTCGCGCCACGGCCTCTAGGCGACGACGACAGTGCTCCGGTGCCGCCGAATCCACACCAGTAATCTCCTGTGCTCGCCACACGCCTCCCGAGACGGCGCCTGTCGACCGCCGCTCTGTCCACGCCCAATTATTGAGAGCTGCTTTTGTCAATAATGACACCATCCAACCACTGCTAGCGCCCACACGAGAGTGTCGCGGGACAGCGATAGCAGAGCTGCAGAGGGCCGCATCAGCGGACATCGCGCCAGGTATGACGGCTCAAACTAGACACTGTGCGCAGCGCCAGCGGAATCAGTCTGACGCCCGCCCGCAGAACGGTTCAGGACGCCACCTCCTCCCGTAAAATGGTCCAGGGCGCCACCTCCGTCCGCAACACGGTCCATGGCGGCACCTCCGCCCGCAGAACGGTCCATGGCGGCACCTCCGCCCACAGAATAGTCCATGGCGCCACCTCCGCCCACAGAACGGTCCATGACGCCACCTCCGCCCGCAGAACGGTCCATGGCGCCACTGTCGGCGCGGGGCGTCGCTAGGAGACCAAAGAGCGCTGCTGGCCGTCCGGCGCCGCTGACTCGCCGTGCGCCACCTCCGCGAAGCCGTTGTACGGCTTGATCTTGGTCAGAGCGAGCGCCTCTGGGCCCTCGTCTCCAGCGCCGCCGTCTGGTCTCCGGCGCGCAGTCCTTCGGCTGGAAGGACAGCACCACTTGTGAGGGTCCGACAGGTAAGCGCAGCTCGTCGACTGTGCTTGGATAAAGTCTTGTTGGACTGGCATCGTTGACGGTAGACTCAGGGTACAAGAACTAGCAGTACCAAAACTTACCGCCAAAGTTGCTTGAAGGTAGTAAAGAAGGAACGACATGCGTTCTCCCTGCTAGCCACGCACAACTTTCTTGGCTGTCCCTGAGCAAGGACAACGGAGCCTCCAAGGAGTATGGAACGTGCACTTGCACACTACGATGATTCAGCACACAGCCATACCGTCACACGGTCAAGAACGCAGTAAACCACGGCAGGTCAGTGAGAATCTACCCAGGAAGACAGCATCCACGTGGCCGGCATGACCGTTTACCCGGGCTGCGCCTCACCGGAACCAGCCGAACATCCGAAGCGTGCCCTTTCCGAAGTTCTCTCCCTCTTCCATGGTTTCGGGCAAGTGCTGGTGGGCCGTCTCAGGCAGGAAGAAGGACACGAACGCCCCCAATAGGGTCACCGTGCCCATGATAATGAGTGGCACCAAGCGCCCATACGCCGCCTGAGGACCACATTGACACACCTCTTTTACACTGTCACTGCCCGGCAAACGGCCTAGCCCATGCTCGTATTCCTGGCTCATGAGCTCGGCATGTGACGTTTTACAGCGTCAATGCCAACACACGCACACAGATCACGTACGTTTGAGTCCACGTCATTATCGCAGCGAACCAAAGAGCAGGTAAATAGCCTCTCCTGCATAAGCTGAATACTAATGTCAATTCAGGCCGTCTGGTCTGAACCAGCTGGACAGAGCGACTAACGCGACTAGTACAGCGGCACGCTGGCTGCTCACCAGCGCCAAGATCTGCGGGAAGCAGAGCAGGCCGAGTCCGGCGAAGAACGAGGCCAGCGCCATCGCCTGTGAGCGGATCACCGTCGGCAGCAGCTCGCCCGCGAACACGTAGATGACGGCGAAGCTGCCGGCGATGCCGAACTTGCCGATCATCGCCAGCGTCACTGTCACCCAGACCGCCTCTGCAACAGGGGGTCAAGCTGTGTGCCACGATCCACAGACGACACGCAGCTCCGTACTGAGCGTTCCTCGGCACTGGCACTAGCAGCGGTGTAGTTTTCTATTCAGTTGGAGGGGGGGCATATTCAAGGTGGGAGGGCGAGGGGTGAAGCCCCCCCCCTTCCAGCTTGGGCTTCAGTCTCCTTCCATTTTGAAAAGAAAATGGTAAAATCGTGGAAGAAATCTGTTAATTGGCATATTTCGGGCAGGTTGAGTCAATTTTCTCTGTCCATTTCCGAACTCATTTCGCAAAACTACGCCCTGAGTAGTCAGTACAACTAGTCGTTGCTGGCACTCGGCACTACCGGTCGGTACTGAGTGGACAACTTCGATTCGCAGCGATACAGGTACAGCGAGGCATAACCTCATTTTATAGGATCAACGAAACCTTTCGCTGTGTGGTGTTTCGAAGACGCTTGGAGTCCAGCTGTGCACACAACAGCCAACGAAATCCTCCAAACTCGGACCTGTGCTTACCGGAATGCTCAAAGACGCTGATTTCTGGGCCACAGGCTGTGTCGAGACACAAACCTTTGGGCGACGCGCTATCCCGAGCCTTCAGCCTTCGGCCAAGAGACCGCCTCACGACGCTAACCTCTGGGCACGAGGATGCAGCTGATGCAGGCCAGGCCACCCAGCAGCATGGTGGCGCAGAGGCTCCATCGGCGACCCCAACGGTCCATCGTGTACAGGATGATGAAGTAGGACGGCACCTCCACCACAGCACCGATGAAGAACGCCAGGTAGTCGGACACGCCCAGGTTGGTCGTGTTGTAGCTCAGCCCGTTGTACACGATGGCGTTGGCTGTCCAGCTGAAGGCGATGATGAGGAACTTCTTGCGGATGTTGGGGTAGCCGAAAATCAGCAGTCGCATGGATACAGGCTCTGGACTCACCGGCGTCACCGCGTTCAGCTCCTGCAGGCATCATGGACAGGAGGGTCTCGAATGTGAACATCGGCATATACCGGACACGTGGCATTTTGGTCATGGTCCTTGCATCGTTTTGCGAAGGGGGTAGCGAGGGGATCCTCTTCAAGTTGTTTTGCCGCCAATTTTGGAAGACTTTTCGTGATTCACTGACAGAGATTGCGGGTGATCATGCTATAAACGCAGAAGGCCGCAAATGCAGACAGTCAGCTATCAGATGACGTGATCACGTTCCAATCAGCAATCAAAGCCCTGTAACTGTAATACGAGTTCACTGCCCACGGCCAGTTTCAACATATCGACATAGCGCTGTCCAGAAATCGGTAGGGCAGCCCTGCTATGTGCCCCAGCAAGGCCAACCTAACACAGAGAATGAGTCTCAAGACATGTCGTGGTCTCCCCAGAATCGGCGCATTAGGAGAAAGGACACGTCCTGTTACAGTTTCATGCAAATACACGATGTGCAAGAATATGAAAACGACAGCCTTACGGTTACACTCCTCAGATAGTTCTTCGGTATAGGCTTCTTGTTGACTTTAGCCATTTTCTGCACGATTTTCTCGGCCTCAGCCATCCGGCCCTGCTTGTATAAGCCACCGCGGCGATTCAGGAATGATCCACCAATATCTGCCCGACACGGTCATCTGTTTACGGTGATGCGGCGACACTTGAATTTCCCTTTACAACACGCCGGTTCGAACATGATCCACCGGTGTCGCAATAGCCCCGTGACGCCTATAATATGCGTCTGCCTCCCATACACACATCACAGTAAATGGTGATGTGGCCAGTGCTCGGCCGGCTCCGGCTCCACCCGCATGACAATAACATCGAGACGTTGATCAAACCAAGGCCGGGAAAGCGCCAGATGGTGGCTTGCAGTGCTTGGTTGTTGTCCAAGTCAATCAAGTTTGTATTTTCTGACGTATAAAGCGGATGAGGCCGTATGGTACAATTAATCACGCTGCCTGGTTGGCCATGTCCACGGAGGCATGCCTTGTAAATGACATTTCGAGAGATACAATCTACGACAGCAGCGGACGCCGAGTACGAGACCTGCAAACACTAAGACTGGCCCCCTGACATCCGCCCGAGCCGCATTCCCTGAACTGTCAACGTCCCACACCACGGACGTGGCCGGCATACTTACGACACAAGCACGACGAACGGCACGGACAGAGCGAGCGTCAGGGTGAACCAGTGCCGGCAGAGGTACGCTATGCCGGCCATCACCGCCAGCGCGCCGGCGAAGAACACGCAGATGATCATGCCGGCGAACGTGCGGTACGACGGACCCATCATCTCCAGCGCTGCAAGCGGCCGGCACCGGGTCAGCGTGGGCGACGAGCAGCAGGGAGACGGCGGCCGCGCCTCTGACCCAGTCTGTGAGGGCCGCTCCAGCTGGTGACCTCAGTATTGTGCCAACATGGACAGTCACTGGGCTTTACATCAACGATAGGGCGCATTCCGCCAGTGCCGTCGACACAGACGCAGTTGTATACACTACAATTACAGCTAGTCGCATTGCAAATATTTAAGCGAAATCTTCAGCAAAATAAAAATGATTGATATCGCTAGATAATTGATGTCGCAGCTGGGTCTGGAGCATTGTGAGCCAGTTCCACGTCAAAGCATTTCCCGGCAAAACCAGGTTGCATCAAAGAGAACTTCAGCGCCACATCATTCCTCAACGACAGAAATGTTACGGACAAAACATTTATATGTCAATGCTTTTACATATAAGTTTCTGCGGTGCACGTCTCTTCGCGACCGCACCACTACACGACACAACTGTTGCGGGTCGCGGGTTGCAGGCATGGGGACGAAACCGACTTGGGCTTCGGCTTTGGCTTCACGCCGTGTGAAACGGCTGGCTTCGGCTTTGGCTTTGACTGCGTAACATTTAAAGCAGCTGGCTTCCATTTTGGTTTCAGACAAGTTTTGGAGTGTGGTTATGACTTCGGCTGCAGGGGAATTTGAACTGGTAGGTTCGGCCTTATCATGACTATTTTTTTAATCGCAGGTGCGGCTGTACTTTGCAGAAAACGGTCCTGTCTGTTCCCCCAACGCCACCGCACCACACATTTTTTTTCAAGGCTGCAGCGCATGAATGACTGAAGGCCAAAACCAGCCCATCATTCTCAGGACCAATTACATCTGAAGACGGCCGCAGAAATGACTGCGCGAAGCGTTTTGTACATGCTAGCACACGCAACAAGGACGACATACCGAAACAAGCCGCCATCTGTAATGCAAACACCTTATCTCAATCATTCCGCCATCAGCCAAAACCTTATACAATTTCCTGATCCTATGCCGTCCTGGCTCATGCAAAAGTCGCTTTGGTTCGGAAAATAAAGTTGGATAAAATATTGGGCTTTTGCTTAGGCCTAGTCATTTTAGACAATGGCTTTGGCTCCGGCTTTGGGTTTCCGAATTTCAAAACCGCTGGCCTTGGCTTCTGCATCTCGTGTACAAAGCTCACAGACACTGGCTTCGTATTCGGCTTAGCCTTTTAACAGCCAGTGACTTTGTATAAAGCCACTGGCTTTGATTATGGCTCGCAGCTACGAACTTCAAAGCCACCGTCTTCAGCTTTGACTTCAGCTTCATTGCATTGTCTTGACCTCAAATCGGTTTGGAAGCCAGAAAACTAGCATTGCCCCCCCACCCCCATTTCAAAACCCCACACATGCGAAAACCCGGGCGCAGATCATCCCGTTTCAGTTTGACTTTTACAAACAATGAATAAGAGGAGATAGCATTGCCGACCGTTCAAAACAAATGACATGAGTTGTTTCGACGGATGCTGCCCTGAACTTACTCCAAATATAGACATAGAAAATGCCTGAAGTGACCACTCGCAACAGTCACGAGCTCGCAGCTTTGCATCTATTTTACCTTCCAAATATTTCCAACTAAGCTTTTCTTAGACACTTTTGCGACAATGGAACCGAGCTCCAGGTCGTTCGTATCTGTTGTCGGCACCGTCAGCGCTCCCTAACGAATGATCTGTAATAACCATCACTAAGCGCAGTGCCAAGAGGGGCGGGGGAGCGAAAGCGGGAGGGACTCTGCCCCATCTATGATCGGATACAAGGGGGAGTTCCTCCCTACCCGAACAACCTTCTTGTAGTGACCAATGTATTTTTTTTTCGCACAGCTCTTCGCTTACGGGCCCTTATTCCCTTTAATCGTAAGTTCCATCATATTCATAGCGTTGAATTGTCATAAATGCTAGTGTGATGCTACGAAGACTGCAAAAGATCGCTCGGCGTCATTGCCCTATACTGACCGAGCACATTCAATGACTTTCGCACCCAGAGTTGAAAGCCGAATTAGGAAGTGATTGGATCAGCACGTGACTGCATCCTATGAATATTCGACATTTTAACGGCAATGGAAACTTGATACTGAATTACGCAGTGTGTTTTACTTGAAATGCCAATTTTAGGAGTGTAAGTGGAGATACAGTTTTAGGAAAGGATTGGGACGAGATGTTAGTATCACGGATGCAGTAATTGTTCGGACCATCGTCGCCAATGATGTGTTAGTATGTGCTCAACTTTTCGGCCAGTTACCTCTCCGAACGGCTTCCAACTGGCGACAATGGGAAAATCTGAGCCTCAAGCTGGCACGCACGCAATCAACTGACATGCTTGTGCAGATGCAGATCCAAGACATCACTCGGGCAGGACTAAAAGCGAAAGTTCCGATTCCGACCAAACGGGCCGGACGAATAAAAGACAGAGTGCGCCGTGCTCTGACGAAAGAGCGCACAGTCTTCCATCGTCAGTCCAATATAAATCTGGAAACGTCAACATCAAACGACGAGCCACAGGTGGGATCACAAGTAACAGCAGAAGTAGATCTCAACCGTACACTGATCTCCGTCAAAAGAGCTTACACAGACGAAGATCAAAGGGCAAAGAAGATCCACATCCAAGAGATGGAGATGCTCAAGAACAGCAACATAATATCCAATTCCATGCCACAACCAACTAAAGCAGTGGTGAACATGAGTGATAAACAGCTACCAAAGCATGAGAAGGAAATGCTGAATAAAGGGCGAAACTTCGCAAGCATAAAACCCACGATAAACCACCTGGACGGCGTAGCTCCCACAGAAGAGGCTGCAATGAAAATCGAGAGAAAACGTGAGGATGAGCTTTGCTGAAAAGTCAGGCAAACATTGGAAAGGACCAAACCACCAAAGCCAAATGTGACCAGAGAAGCACGAGCGGCCATCAAAAGACTCAAGAATGACGACAACACTACAAAGAGGAGCATGCGCGCAAGCTGAGCGACCTGGTGAGTGATGAGACATACGGCAAGCTGAGCGACCTGGTGAGTGATGGGACATACGGCAAGCTGGGCGACCTGGTGAGTGATGGGACATACGGCAAGTTGGGCGACCTGGTGAATGATGGGACATACGGCAAGCTGAGCGATCTGGTGAGTGATGGGACATACGGCAAGCTGAAGAGGGATCCTGCACCAACAACCGAACGAAAACCGACCGTACTCCTGAAGAAGAGCAAGGGCGACGGAAGCTGACAGCTGCTCAATACAGACATCTAAATCAACATCACAGCAAAGTGTCACATGTGTATGGACTACCAAAGACACACAAGACCAGCGTACCCCTAATACACATCGTCAGCTGCCGCGCTTCAGTCTGTCATCCGTTGAGCCAGTTACTGATCAAGAAAATCAACCTTGTAAGTGATGAGCCATCGTCTTACGTGAAGGATTTGGTTCAAAGTCGCAGGATCACGAAGAAAATTTTATATTTGGCCACCGTGAGGAAGATTTTGGACGTGTCCCTAGGGAAATGGCGCTGAACATTCCACGAGCGTTGCGTTGGTTAATTTTCACGGTGCGCTGAAAAAGTCTTTAAAGAGGTCACGAATATTACCACACCAGCCTGGCACGACTTCAGAACATGTACTTCACATGTAAGCATACAGCTTAAATCGTGTCATATTTAAATTTATCGCGTTTTAGCGTGCCACTCACGCAACCTAAGGAGACCCTTTCATTCACTTCGTCCGTCTTACAGACGCTGCATACTACTCTGCGGAGGAGCCCAGGGGCAACGCCACCAGAGCGAAAAACAGACGTGTACTTGGATCCTAACTGAGGATGCAGAATGCCATAGGATTTCATGGTAATGGAATTCCACTTTAATTCCACTTCCACTTCATTTTTCCACTTCACCATTCCACTTTAAGTGGATCCGGCTCACACTGCGGTCGTTTTACTATTTTCTGTTTGCGACAGGCTTTTGTGTACACACACAAGTTTGCACACAGGTATATTGTATGTTTAATTGGTCGACGTGAAAGCATGCACTGGCTGAGAAGAAGCTACGAAACTGCTATAAAGCTTTTTCGCAGAAATGGGGCAACGGATATCGTCCATACACATCGGGAAGTAGAAAAGATGACGGCCATTTTGACCACTGATTTACAGTCAACGCTCACAGGGCCAACGTCGAATTTTCAGAAAGTTGTGGACATAAGCCGATGTTGTGGGCCATCCTCGATTCCCTCGCCCCCATGCGTTACGATGGTGCAGCGCAAGGAACAAAGAAACATAAGGAATGTGTATAACAATGATCATCCACGATATCTTCAGATTCTAAAGACATGATTGTTCACTTAGTTAGGTTTTTTGAAGCGTAGCGTAATTTTACGATCTCGTCCACTCTATCAAAAATTGGTGGGGTGTCACCTGGCCGGCATACATGCCGCACGAAGGCCCACATTTATGGATGACGTACCGCATCTGAGCGGCCATCGTTGACCCATTTTCCCGCGAGGCTGCACATCCTGGTATCACCAGGAACGTCAGGCCTGCCAGAGACCCGGCTTTGCTCCGATGCCAGACGACACGAGGGAAAATCACAGACCACGCCGCGCACCGCCCAGCTGCCGGTGGCTACAGGGGTAACCACCAGAGGTAGCCACCAGAGGTAGCCACCAGAGGTAAGCCACCCGGTAATGCACTGGGCGGATCCGACGTAAAAAAAAAACAGGAAAGACAGCCGGGGCCGCAGGGGGGGGGGGGGGAGTCTTGAGTGAAGAGCGGGGATATTTCCAGCCTGTGTGGCTGAACCCAGCCCGTGCGTCACGCCTTGTGCAAACCTGAATCTTCGCAACGACATAAGTCAGCTTGATGCAGTTCTGTGAATAAGGAAAACAAAGCCCTCAGATGTGTGCAGTTTACGGCTTAACATATTTCCATACTGTGTGTTTACTTGGGCGTGATTTTCCTGCCGAACTGCAGTTTGACAAAACATATCCTT